GACAAGCTTGGAGGGAAGTACTGTTACTATTTAATTCTATTTCACAGACAAAGAAACTGAGTCACTGTGAGTTACTTGGGCAGATAAGTGATGTGCACAAGTTCACCAGCCTAGTGCACAGGCCAGGAGAACTCCACTGAAGACCACCATCTTAGCGATTCTATTGCAGTTGGACTGAGTTTTTGTTCATGCTTTTCCCCACTACTGGGGATTGAACCCAGAGCCCTTGCAACTCAGCTACATTCCCCATCTTTCTTTTTTAATTTTGAGACAGCGTCTTCCTAAATTGCCCAGGCTGGGCTCAAACTTGCAATCCTACTGCTTCAGCCTCCCAGAGTGCTGGGATTGTAGATGTGCACCACCTCAGGACAGACTAGGACTTCTTATCTGCCTTTGCCATTAGCCTGAGGTCAAGGAACCTCAGTGCTGGCAAAGTAGGTCCTACAGAAGCACTTGCTGACTCGTGTTCCCTCCCTAGGGACGCCTGGCTGGAACCAGCCCTTATCTGAGGAATGAATGAGACATCTGGAAAGCTCAGAGGAAGGGATGAGGAACAGGAACAACTTCGAATGTATCGGTTGGCTAAAAAGCCAGAGATTTGCACTTTGTCAACAGATCCAGAAATCTCTAAGGAGTATCCTATCATGGGGTTCTCCTGGTGCCAGGAGAGCTACAAAATGACTAAAGAAGCACACACAGGAAAAGTTGATAGTTAACCTACCTACCCGACCCACCGGGTCTTCCTGCCAACACCAGTATAGGACAGAGCCTAGGTATCGAGGGAATTGCAAAACTCTGTCCTGCCCTGGGATGTCTGATCACCGAAAGCCACAAGAGGTACGCATTACATGGCTGGAGGAACAGAGGTGTTCTTTCACCTGCGGAGAGGGCTGGTGGGAACGGAGGGCAGAGGAGGGTGAGGGAGGGGAAGGAAAGGAACTGGGCCTGTTCTGTTCTCCAGGAAGTTTCCAGCCTAGTCCACCCAGGGCTTTCAGGACCCCTGCGGCTTGTAGATAAGACCTCACACATCTGCGGGGTGGTGCGGGGAGAAGAGGTGGTCAGGTATCTGGGCTGCAGTCCTCGCTGCCCTCGGCCTGTGGTCCTCAGAACCCAGATTTTCCCTGGGACTTAGCACTGTGACTTTCACAGGAAAGCTGTCCTCCGGCATTGGCAAGCCCTAAGTCCAGGACAATTTCAGGCACCGCGGGAGTCTCACTGTGTCTTCTGGCTGGGTTCGCTCTGCCAGTGGCCTGTTTGCTATGTCTGGATCAGACATGAGAAGAGCAGGACAAGGTGACAAACTGAGTCACCAGCCATCCCGGGTGGAGGCAGCGTGGCCGCAGTGAGGACGACCTGGGGAGCATCCCCACGAGTATGGGATCTAGCCTTGGCTCAGAAGGCTGCGTGTGGCCTGCTTCTCAGGCAGTAGGCTCAGCCCCTCTACCTGCAGCTTGCAGGTTGGTTCCCATCTGTAGCTTTAGTGCCCCCTAGTGGACTGCACAGGAAGAGCTGCACATTTAAACCTCCCTGTCACACCTTGGATCTCAACAGTGATGTACCAGAGTGGTGTTGCCAGGGCCAAAGCACATCATTCTAAGGAAACTGAGGGCATATTTTGGATAAGCGTGCTCTCGGTGCTCTGGGGGTAATGATAGAGTCGGAGGCCAGCAAGTTAGGCTTTGTCTTACTGATCTCTCAGTGGGCTGGCGCGGGGTGAATGGCCTATGGCCACAGGGAAGCCCCAAGGCCCGTACTGCGCAAGCCGCTCACTTGTGGAAGCTTCCAGATGTCTTCCTGCAAGCCTCCTGAGAAATCAGGTAGGTGATTATCCCAATCCATGTCTGCAGCCAAGTGTATCCCATTTCATGTGGGCAACACTTGTGCTGATGTGTGTACAACCTATTGTACAGCCTGTGTGCCTGAAACTGCCCATTTGAATATTTTCCCTTCATTTTAAAGATCAACTTTCCATCCCTCTATTTTTGAAAAAGGTCAAACTACTGTTTCCAAACCACAGTGCCAGACGTTAACGTCTGAATAAACTTATTTTCCTAAACTGGCCAGTGCTGGAAGAAACCTGTCTGTTCTCAGAAAGGTCTGGGTTCCCCAACATCCGGGCATCTGTGCTAGCTGGCACTCACTGCTGTCCCTCCTTGCAGCTGCCCAGGCCCCTGGGACCCACCTCTTCACAAAGCTGCTGCAGCCTGGGGCTCTGGGTGTGGCCACATGTTTGACCAGGAGGCTGGGCCCAGTCTGACACCCTGAGCCACAGCTAACAGTGTTTTTGCCACTGTCATTTCTGGGAGATTGGGGGAGCAATTATCTGGTGTGATACACCCATCTGAGTTCTTGCTTAAGACAAAACAGTAAGGATATCACTGCTAAGGCAACTGGAAATTTCTGTTTTGGTGGCAGCTCTGTAGGGGTTGCACACGTGCATGTGCGCACAGAGAGAGAGAGACAGAGACAGAGACAGAGAGAGACACAGACAGAGATCTGGGCTTTCCAGGTCCTCAAGGCTGGGGCTTCTCGTGGTCAGCTGCAAAGACCATGTTCAGGGCCGAGGTGCCCCTGGCCAGCTGTGCGGGAGGCAGTGCTCGCGTCTGCTCTTGGGCAGCCCTGGACACCCTTTGCCCTGAGTGGAGAAGCCAGTGGTGCCACAGCACCACCTTTGGGAGAGCAAACTGATGGGAAGAGATGGGAGACAGGACACCATGATGGAAGAAAGGTGCAAGGAGGGCTGAGTGGCAGCCAAAGGCCCCACAGACCTCCAAGAAGCCAGGGCCCACACTGGGCAGAAACCCAGGAAAAACTGTGCCCCTGACTGTCTCTAAGAATGGAGGAAGTCAGTGGGGAATGGGACAAAGGGAATTCCTAGCATCCTTTAAAGCTTACCAAGTCACACTGCTATGACTTAAATGTTCCCACCAAAGTTTGTGCATTGGATGCTTCACTCCCAGAGGGACTGTTAGCAACACCTAGAAACGGTACTTTGGGAGGTCATGGGGGTCACGAGGGCGAGGACGAGGGTGCCACGTTCCTATGTTGAGGAAGAGGCTTGCACTGGTTGCTTGTCTGTCTCCCATGCAATTCTCTCCACTGCACTAAGACTCAAAAAGGCAGATGTGGACACCATGCTGCAGGAGCCCCAGCCTCCAGGAACACAGCTAAATAAACCTCTGTGCTTTATCTCTGAACTCCAATGTTCTATGACAGCATCAGAGGGGATATCTAAATCTGCACTTTCCCAGTGAGTAGTTTCAGTCTCATTGCTTGCAACTCAGGTCAGAATTAAACTGGAAATAGAAAAAACCTATGAAGACAGAGTATCTAGCTCAGTGGTTGCCTAGATTCGGGGGATAGGGATTGGGAGATAACTACTAATGGATAGTGTTTTGTTTTGGGTTAACAAAAATGGTTGAAATTTGATTGTAGGCATGTTGGTACAACTCTCAATGTGCTAAAATCTACTGAATTGTACACTGTGTAAATTGTAACTATGAAAATTTTAGTTCAATAAAACTATTACTTGAATTTAAAAAAGAAACTGGAAAACAGTCTTCAATACTTTTTGTTTTGGGTTGTTTGGGGTTTTTTTTAAGACAGTCTCACTATGCAGTGCAGGCTGGCCTTGAACCTACTTTGGAGCCAGGCTGACCTCAAATTCAGTGATCCTCCTGCCTCAGCCTCCCATATGCTGGGACTGCAGGTGTGTGCCACCATGCAGCCTTTAAAAGAAACAAGGAACTAAAGAGAAAATGAATTTGTACAATAACATCAAAATGGGTATTAAGCCACTGTCTTCTGCAAATCCATACTCCTGGGGGAACTAGCTTGAGTTTGAGAACAGCTGGGACTGGGACCAAGCAGTTCATTTATGTGTCAAGATGGCTGTCCTGCTTTTGCCAGGGTCTGCCTTACCAGCTTCTACCCAAGGTGGTCGCGGCCCAGGCTTCATCTGAAGGATGTGAAGAGAACCAAGAATCAGATGGGCAGGTCCCGATAGACAGCCTGGAACCTGGACAAGGGATTATGAACTTCTAGCACCTAAGACAGGAAATGCTGGCCCACAGCACTGGCCATACGAGGGGCTGTGGTCAACTGAGCCCGTCACAGTACGTGTGACTGGCCTTATGGAATGGACTGAGGTTTCTGGTTTATAATCCGGTTGCCTACGTGGCCCCAAAGGGGAAAATATTAATAATTAGTTCATTCTCTTTTTTTGTTTTGAGACAGGGTTGCGTTATGCAGTTCAGGCTGGCAGTGAGCTCACTTTGTAGCCCAGGCTGGTCTTGAACTCACAGTGATCCTGCTTGTTATGGTTTGTGTCTGGATGTGAGCCCCCAAAGTCTCATTCAGTCATGGGGCAGGCTTCCAGAGTTATGACTGATTCACAGGTGTGAGTGCTACACCTGCCCCGGGGCAGGTAATTTGCCTACAGTGTAAGGGAGGGAAAGAGGCTTGCTTTCTGGCACGCCTCCCTTTTGCTCTTGTTGCTTTGGCTGTTTTTCTGCTGCCATGAACTCTTGCCCTCCGCCATGTGCCACTCTGCCTTAGAGCCGGCCGAGTATGGACTGAAACCTTCCATGAACTGTAAGCTAAATAAACCTTTCCTTCCTTAATTCTGGGCGTCATGTATTTTGTCTCACCAATGAGAGACAAGTAACCAAGACACTCCTGCCTCAGCGTCCCCCTCTCCCCCCAATGCTGGGATTACAGGTGTATGCCACCACGCCCAATTATAATTACTTCTACTGTTTTCTGGTCTTTTTCTTTTTTGGTACCATGAATCAAACTCAGGGCCTAGTGCTTGCTGGGCAGGTGCTGTGCCCCTGAGCCTCATCTAGTGCCCCACAATTTGACACAGAGGGACATGAACACCGTCTTGAAGGTTAGGGTGCTTAGTTTACACCAGTAGCCAGCACCGCCAAGATGGGAGACAGGTGTGTTCCATTCCAAGGGCTGCTGGTCTACAAATAAATCAACAATGGCCAGAGAAGTTAGGTCAAGGTGAGTTTATTGTCCAAATAGCATAACCTAATTGCGTTCAGCACCATCTTCAAATCCACCTTCAAATCCACCTTCACACCAGCCAGAAGAACAAGTTATTACTTTTTAAAATGAAGTAACACTGACCAGATAAAACCTCTTCAAAGGCAGCTGACTACATCTCATCTTCATCATAGCCAATACAACATTTTTTCCATACTTCCAAAAAACCTTTTGTGATCACACTGATCATGCTACTTTAGCACTTTCTAGCATCCCGACCAAATAAACACCCACACCTCTTATAGAGTACACTGTGAGAGAATAACATTGACTTGATATGGCATCACACTTGTTTTAAAGCAAATTTAAAAAAAAAAAAGGAAGAAAAAAAGTAATCCAAGATGAGAAACTCTAACTGAGAGAGATAGAAAGATCTGAGGTACATGACACAGGGGTAATGAACATCATGGGAAAAATCCAATGGCCTGGTGATTGGCTGGGGATGTGTCAGTTGGCCAGCAGGAAGAACTAAAACCAATTAAAAATAAAAGAGAAACCTTTTCTTTTCCAAGGACAGACACCTGTCAAAATACAACAGACACTGTAATGGCTACAGTCAGTAAGGCACTTTATTCCCCAGAGCAGGCTGTAGGCGGAGGATAGACGGCTGCGGCTACAGCGCTCATGTACACATTTGCTGATGGCTTCTTAAAACCTGAGCCAAGAACAGGGTCTGACAACCCAGCCGAGTTTAAAAATGCAGAGATGCACTGAGATAGAAGAACATCTCTGGCAGAAACAACTATCCCGGGTCATCGAGAACCCGGAACGATCGGAAGTTACGTGGTGTGAGGAAGCAACAAGCATCTTCTTGGGCCTTGCTGCGCTGCTGTGGATGGACAGATGACACATCCTCAGCTCTCAGAGTGGCTCTGAGTCTCCACCAACAGAAGCTGCACTCGGTCTACAGCTATAGCTGGTTTGTTGGCTTCAGGGGGCCTCACTGTCTTGGCATTAATTTCCCTTTTAAAGCTATCCCCAGGTTGGACTGTCTCAAAGATAAACAGAGAGGAATCCTTTTGGCTTCAAAGTCAACTGGCTTACTCAGACTTCTGCCCCCTTCCTCCCTCTGATTCCCACACTACCAATATTACCTTCTTGAACTAGAAAATCAATATTTACAGGACATAAGGTGCATGTCACTTTCTTTTCCCAGCCCTGTCCCCCATTGTCCATGGAGAGGAAAATCCCTTGCCCTCCGAGAATGTCCTTCAATCCTGCCCAACTAGAAAGTCTTCCAATTTTCACCTGTTGGCCCCACACCCCCCCAAATCCTCTGCAGAGGGGCTAGACTGCAGCACAGCCACCAAGCGCCTGCTGAGGAGTTGCCCACCCGGCTCTGCCAGCAGTGCCCTAACCTGACCGATCAGAGGAGGAGAGAGTGTCAAGAATGAAGGCCCCCATTACATTTGGTGGGCTCCTGGGCAGGTGAACATAAAGCAGCCTCGCAGAGCCACCTACCCAAGGGGTGGCCAAGGGAATGGCCCCTCGGGTCCTCCCGCGGGCTCCCTGGCTTTTCTGAACCTGTGAAGGGTTTACTTCTGCTTAGCATATATTTTTGGCATACTAGGATTTCTTTCCCCATGGATTTGGTCAAAACAGGAGAAGGATCAAAATTTGGCAGGCAGGGGGAACAACTCAGCCCCCAATGATGGAGAAAAACAAATGGAAGAAATAAAGAAGGGAGAGACAACAAGACAGAAAAAGACTAGAATAAAACTGGAATCCCCTTAGTGGGAGGCAAGAGCGAGGCCAGTGGAGGAAAAATTAAAAAGCAAATTCTAAGCCATGGGGAGAACTGAGCCCCTCTGGGATACACACTCCTACTGAAGAGGCCAAGCTCCAGGGAGACGGTATCAGTAACAATGGGGAGCCAGGCTCCCTTCTTCTGTACAAGCAGAAAGCAGGCAGCAAAGCCAGGAACCCTCCATCTACTGTCACACTACGCCCCAAGGACAGGAAAGAAGAACAGAGAGACGGGGCCGGGACACCTGGCTCCAAGAACAGGGGACAATGACCAACTGCAGGCACCTGGGGGCTTGTCCACCTGTCAGGTTCTTCCATCTGCTGCTTCTGTTTAAGCTCAACGGTTGGCCACTGCTCCATAATGTGCACCCTGTCTTCTCAATGGGCTTCACGTCTCCTGAGGACTCCAGGTTTGGGCTTTCCTGGTTCTGTTGGCCTCCTGGGGGACATGAAAGGTGTCCTGTGCCTCGGGGACTCTGGGTGAAACACTGGCTAACCACCAGCTGCTCATCTTCTCTCTCCCAAACTTCCGCTTTCACCACCTACAGCCCCACCAGAAACTCCTTCGCATTTTAGGGTCCTGAACTCCGCCTCCACAACCCCTCACGGAGACCAGCTAGTGTACAATTTGTCCTCCCATAGGAGCCTCCTCACCTGTCCTCAACCTCCATCCTGTACTTATCTGACCCGCACCTGTCCTGCCCCATCCGTGTAGCACCCTTCCATGCCACCCCACAGGGGACCTGGTGGGAGAATCAACACCAGGAATGCTGCAGACCCATCTACCCACAGCTCCATGAAGCCTCAGAGATGATCCTAGCCCAGGGTGTCTGTGTCAGGGAAGGGGGCAGACAGGAGATGAAGGAGACCTACGCATTAGAAAGCACCAGTCCTGCAGGGTGGGGACCGTGCTCTCCCTACAGCCTGCTGGGACTCTCCCTTGTGGCTTCCGGACCCACTGCATGCGTGTCTGTGGGATGTCTGTGTGCCTGAGTGCATGTGTGTGTATAGGGGAGGGAGGCGCCCTTGCTTCAATGCATTTTTTCCATCATGATGAAGATACCAGAGTGAAATCGTGAGCCTGGTGACCTTTCTGACTGAAAAGGTCTCTGGGTGTGACAGCCTGGGACGAATGATCTGCCTGCCCGGGAGTGGTGTCCGGCCTCCCCTCCTCTGTGCTCTGCTCCTCCCGCTGGTGAGCTCCCAAGTAGAGACTGCATGGTTGTGAGGTATTATGAAAACTGTGAATCACTGTCCTCTGTAGTATTGATTTTGTCCAGTAAACCTGAGGTAAAGAATACTCTGTCTTTGAAGAGGAAGAAACAAAAGCAGAAAAACCAAAAAGAAAAAAAAAAAATTAAGAAAAACCATGAATACGCTACCAGAAGAAAACAAACTACGGAAGGGCTTTTCCAGTACAAAGAACTCATATCTTAACCATCTACTTCAGAACTTGAATTTAAGCGGTAAAATAATATATTATAAAAATGTTTATAAAATAGCAGCACACTGTGAACATTACAGCTAGGTACTGTTAATGTGAATAAGGATGAACGATCTTAGCTTCTTAGCAGCGCAAAAAAATAATAATAATAAACTGAACAAAATAAAATGAAAGATAAGAGACCCTTAAGATGTTTCTCCATTTTCAACCCTCACACTATGAAACAGGCAGAATCTGCATATAAAATAACTCTTCAAAGTAGCACTGTTCTGATTTTTCTTTTTTTACTTAAAAAAAAAAGCAAGTATTTTAACAAATAGCTTCATTACCTGTCAATTACCATTGTGCAAGAAAAAAAACCCAAGTTGTGGCTCCAACCTCTAACTGAATGCCTCTAAGAAGTGGAGAGAAAAAGGAAATTCAAGTACACTGAATACAACTTTGCAATAAAATTAACAAAAAACAGAAAAGGGGACAAAGTGCCACACCCTGATGTTCAGCCATCTGTCTCTGCACCAGCAATAACTTTTCTTTCCATGTCCAAATGAGAAGGCTACTGATGGGAACTCAGATCCTTCTATGCCGTAGCAATGGTAACAGAGCTGTCTGGAGCTGTTTCCGAGGAATGTCGCGACGCAAATGTCAGCGGCAAGGACTGTCTCTTGAGCCCCAGTAAGGATACCAGAGCTCTGTACCAGAGAATGTCAGATTCCGGAAGTGAACAAAACCAGACTTGGGGCAGGAAGCAAAAAGGCAAAGAGAAGAGGGAAGGAGTATTCAGCGTGATTTGCATAAACCATCCCATCTACCCCTTGGGAACAATTCTTCAAAGTGCTTTTTCGAATGGAATGGTTTATAACAATGCTAAGCTGTGGACCAGACATGCCAATCAGCACCAAAAAACAAATTTTTTCCTAATCAAGGATTCCAAGGTCACCTCATCCTCTTTGACAGAAGAGAAGATTCCATTTCCGCTCCCACCCTGGGTTTCTGTCTGCCTCCATTTCAGATGAGTTTTGGCCACGGCCCATAGCTAAATTTCTCCACTAGCTAACAATATGGCAGTGTCTGCAATGAACCATGTTTGGAAGAAGAAGGAAATCACCAAACGTGAAACCCGGGAGCCAATCGCCTGTGGCCCACTGGCAGAATGCAACATCTTTTAGGTAGCAGCTACTGTAGACAGCACAAGTACAAATGCAGAAACCCACCAACGCTCCTGCTTAGTAACACGCGGCTTGGCAGGAAGGTGTTTCCACACGCTGGTGGTCCAGTCATGTGGACAGATGTTTGTACCCCCTCCCCACTGTGTCCCTCCTTGTTTCTAATTCCTTCTTGAGTTCATTGCTTTGCAATCTAATCTTGCCATAGATGGCACAATTTCTTGCAATTATTCTAAAAGGGGCCTATGTGCTAGTTGAACATCAAAAACAGAGCCTCCTCTAATTTGTTCCCATATTGCAAGTGTACATATCTTCAAGCTACTCTGCAGGTTTTCCCATAAGCATTTTACTATTACGTTTACATAGTCAAACAGTAACTTCGAGTATACAAGGAATTCCCTTATGTTGTACTTTGAATAGGCACCAAATGCTTTTAATTATTACGTTTTCATAGGACCTTTTCCTCTCACTTCTAAAAGATCTTTAAATATGATCTAGGTGGGGGCAAAATTTTTTTTTAAAGTTTCATCCTAAAACACAAAAGAACAAAACATAACCAGAAAGAGGCGAGCGTAGATGGTGAGTGTGCCTCTCCTGCGGGGCCGCAGGGCATCCTCACAGGTCGATGTCCCGCACATCTGTGGGCGTGGTGGCTTGGTCCAGTTCATCCTCTGACTTGGATCCCTCGCGCTGCTCCTGACGGAACTGCTGCAGGCTGTTGAGCAGCACAGCCTCGATCTGCTCCTGGCAGGCTTTGAGACAATCCTAGAGGGAGGAGTGGGATCCAGGTAAGAGCTGCGAGTGGGACACAGTGGACACAGCACTTCATGAAGATGATGGATATAATTTCCCTTGCACAACTCTGTTCATTTTCCAGCAGAACTAAAGGAACGCTGGTCTCCAAGTCCATGGGAGCCTACAGTGGCAAATGGGGTGCATGGGCCTACAGTATCAGCAGCTGCAGGGAGATACAGTGTTTCACCCAACTCAAACCACCCTAATCACAACGCGCATCTTAGCAAGAACCCATGGGCACCTTACCCTGAGAAGCACAGGGCTAGAGGGTGGTCTGCTTAAGCGCGGGCACCGCCTGCTCACAGAGGTTCCCCTATGTGCTTTCTGCCTGGGGAGACAGCAGGGTGGGGAGGCCCGGCAGCTGCCCTGTCAGGAGCCAACTCAATTCAAAGAACAGGTAGGAAGGGAGAAGCTGGGCTGAACCATCCGTGTAAGTGCTTAGAAACCACAAAATCCTCGACTTTCCCCTTAATTCTCATAAAAACACAATACAGAGTGTTTACGAAATTCTGGACACTAGAGCTTGTCCAATTTGGGAGTAAGCAAAAATTCACAGTGTTGCTTTTATTAGTCTATATTTGGTAGGGAAAATCCACAGTGTGCCTGCCCCCAACATAAGCTGCTGTTAGCTGGGTGGCATGAAATGCAGCGTCAAGCCACAGTTGTCACCAGGAAGGGACTGCAGCGCCCATGAGGAGTCCGCTCCTGGAGGGTGCTGCTCAGTGCGCTGCTCCCCACACTCTCACAAGAGCCCTGCATGTATGGACAACAGGCTGAACCCCATCTCTCCGCACCCGTCCACACACTTCCCCAGTGCTTGCTTCACTAGGCAATTTTCACCACCCGAGGGTTGCTATTTTGCCAAGTGCAAAAGAGTTAACCTTTATTTTCTAAAGACCTAAAATAAAGTTGGAATTAACTACAAAGGATCCAACCAGTTCCAGTTTTCCTTTTCCACCTCTCATCTATTCCACATTTCAAACTTAATTTTCATGAAAATTAAGATGAGGAACACAACACACTGAAGGCTAAGGGCAGAGATGCAACTCCACCTGAAACAACAATGACAGCAAGGCCAAGCAGGGCAGCGAACACCTGTGATCCCAGTATTCAGGAAACTGAGGCAGGATGAGTGCTGGGAGGTCAAGGCCAGCTTGGGTTACATAGTGAGACTGTCTCAAAAAACAAACAGAACAATGATGTCGAGGAGAGTGGTATGTGCTGCTTACCCACTGTAGCAGGCAGGAGCTAAACTGTTCCATTTCTCGGAACTCCATTTCTCCATATGACAAAATGCTCAAAGTGAAGAGCAACTGAGATAATATATAATAATCCATAAGTCATCACCATTTATTATGTAGCAATAAAACGTCCTCCTCCAGTAGCTGCCTGTGGTGAAAAAATGCAAGGACCACCATTCCAGCTCAGACTGTCTGACCTGGGTATGGACCAGCATTTGCCCAGGGTGGGCTGTGGGGGCTGTGGATCTGACCCTGGGGCAAGCAGTAACCACGTGCTTGACTCCAAGTGTACACTCATCTACTCTGACTGACCACGTCCCTCAAGAGCAGTTCCACACCCTGCAGTTGCTCCTCCTGAGCGTTCAGAGCTGTGGATTTGAGGTGACACACTCCGGAGGGACATGTGGACCTCAGGTCCAGCCAGGAACACGTGCACAGGATGTTCCAAACGGGAAGAAGAAGTCAGACTCCATGAAGGGCACATCCTCTCTCCTCCTCTCAGTCTTGTTTCAACCCAACCATCACTGACTCCAGCTGACTCTTCACCTTTGACCGCTCCTCTTAGATGACAAAAAAGGAAGACTAAAGCAGTTACCCCAGAAAAGAAGGACCTCTACCCCAGGGCCTTGGATATGGTAGGCAAGTACTCTACCATTGAGTTTCACATCCATTCTTCTACTTCATTTTTTTTTTTTTCTTTTGAAATTTTACTCAGAGACAGGATTTCATGCATTCCAGGCTGGCTTGGAACTTTTGACCCTCCTGCTTCAGCCTCCTGAGTAGCTAGGATTATCACATCTGGCTGTCAGATAGATTTTCAACTACGTGAGTCCTTCATTCTCAGCTCAGCCAAATGAAAATCTTCTTCACAGCCTGTCTTGTGTGAATGGCTTCATCATTCTACTTTATGCAGATGGAGCAATCGGCATCCCTCCCTGGAGATACACGTAGGCTCTGTGTATTAACAGCCTCATTTAACCCTGCAGAACTTCCTGTGGATTTCAGGGAGCAGTGGGAGGTGAAAGGAGAGGAGAAGGCTACAGGGACGCTTTATCTGCCACCTAACCACGCACCTTAAGGCCCCTGAGCTCTGTCTGGCTCACAGAGCTGAGACAGGAGGAGGTGTGGGCCTGGGGCTGGAGCAGTGGTTACCTCTGCCTCCAACCCAGCCACACTGCTGCTGCTGGGAGGCCACACTGAGGCTGGGGTGGAGTCTGGAGTATTCCCACAGGGGCAGAACCACCAGATGACATACTGCTTCTGATCACAGAATCCAGAGAGTTGGGAAGCCCCTGAGGCCCGCTGGCTCTCCAGCAGGGTGTCAAAGTCCAGAGCCGCTGTGGCTTGTCTCCTCCTGTGATGTGGAATTAAATCTGAGCCTGGCTTAATAAGGCTCTGCTCCAGGTGGGCGGGGTGGCACATGCCCTCAATCCCAGCCATGGGGAGGCTGGGGTGTGAGGATCATCATGATTTTGAGGCCAGCCTGTACCACAAAGTGAGACCCTGTCTCAAAACAACCAAAAACAAACAGAAAGCAAAACCAGAAAGAGGCAGAAACTAAACCCTAAAACAAGGCTAGGCTCTGTTGTTGGAACTTTGTTCCAACTTTGTGCACCTCTGCATCTTGCTGGCTACAGAAAGGACGCACAGGCACGAGTCCCTCTGAAGAAGGAAGACAGAGCCCAAGTAGCCAGAGGGAGAAAAGGACAGTGCTCCCAGGCCAAGAGGCCTGGGCCGGAAAGTCCCACAGCCCCAGGATCCCAGCCTGGCGACAGGCTCCTATCACACCAGACCTTGTGCTAAGATGCTCCAAATTAAGCTGATTAAAAGGAAAGCCATAACGCTGGTCTGTCAGCCAGACAGGTGGCACTCACAGCACTGGAGGTCGGCAGCCCTCCAACCCTAGGACAGGCCCCTCCCGCCCCCATCCCTCGCAGCCGCCCAGCCCCAGCCCAGCCCCCAGCCCCAGCCCCAATGGGGTGTTTGTGATCCAGCTCCAGCTTGGTGGAGGGACTCGACTTCCTCTGATTGCTGGCTCAGGCCCTGAGCCCTGCACCCTCCTCTGCTCCATGAATGGGCCGGCGGAACTCCTACCATGAGCCCAGTGTAACTGCATCGGGCACTGTCACCACACACGCACAGCACTCAACAGGGGCACAAAGGCTGAATGAGCCCCAGGCCTGGCCAACTTAGACAGAGACAAGTTAGGAAACTATCTCATTCTTCCTTTCTTCGAAGGCTGTTTGGCTGGATTCCCTGCATACCAAATGAGGCTGCTGGGCAAGGCGCAGGGAGGGAGGTGCATGCTGGCCCACCTCTCCACCTCTAGCTCCCTCTTGCCAGGGTCCTGACCACAGGGCGAGAGGTCCTTGGGCAGGCACACCGGGTGTGCTGAGTGTACCAGGCTTCCAGCTAAGAAGACAGCTGGAGTGCTGTGGACCCGAACAGTATGTGGTCCAAGGGGAGCCTTCTACTGCCCGGTGATCTGACAACCAGGATCCTGAAATGCTAGGCCGACTCTGAGGAAGGGACATCTGGAATCTTTTCTGAGCCATGCTTAAGAATGTGACCAAAAGTTCTCAGGCAACCCAGACAGACAAGGCTCCGTGTAAGGACCGTATGACTCGCAGTCCGCACCTCTTCTGCTAAGCATCTTCCAGTAACCTCACAACTTCTCAGTTTTCCTCTTTACTGGTGAAAGTGGCATTAAATGGAAAATTCATCCACTCAGTGAAGGATAAAGTCAGGTAACATGTAGAGGACCCCAATAACAGTTTCTATCAAATAATATATGACAGCCATCCACACAACTTTCCAGCAGACACGGATGGACCAGAGCACACTTGAAACCCGCCTGCCTGCCCTTTGTCCTCCGCTGCTTCCTTCCTCCTTGCCCTCTCCAGCACCGCTCCCAGGGACTGCGCTGGGCTCTGGATGAAAGCTTGGACTCATTCAAGGGTCCTATAGACAAGTGAGCAGTGAGGTAAATGTTGGCACGGGGCGTGAGTGCAGTGCCGAGGGGCGGAAGGGGAACCCCGATTCTGCGGGGGCCGGGCCAGTCATCTTGCTCTGATTTACCCTTAGCAACGGAAGCCTCTGTAGAAGTCCCCCCTAAGCCAGCGTATCCGGCTGCTGTCTGTTTTCAGCAAGTGCTAGGACTGGAAGGGAAAGTACTTAAAATACACCACCCTCTGAGACGCTTCTTCCCTGAAACACTGTCGGCCTGCTCACTCGCTTTCTCTCTGGAATGGAGCTTTCCAGTTTACTTTGGCAACCAGATGGAGCAGCAAGGCCCACTTTCTCACAGCCCCGTGGTTCCTCCTGTCCCCAGCTAACTGCAGAAGGCAGGCGAGCCGGAGCGACTTGTCTGGCTACCTCAGACAGACTGCAGGACCCTCTCTCCACACTCTCATCAGAACAACCCATGGCCACCCCAAGTGGGGGCGAGCACCACGAGTGGGAGAAGGGGCAGTGGCGAGGTGTGGGGACAGCCCTGCAGTTCATCCAGCGCTTCAGGTTCCTGGCAAAGGGAACCAGGCGCGCGCACACACACACACACACACACACACACACACACCCCATACGTTATATATATGTACGTGGATTACTGAAACAAAATACGTAACAAATTTTGCCATTTTCACCATTTTCCACCGGCACTCAGTACATCCCCACGGCTGTCGGCCACCAGAATTCTTCCTCCCCAGAAGGGACAATTCTTCCTCCTCCCAGCACCCCAAACAGAAGCCCAGTACCCACTAAACATTAACTCTGCCTCTCTCCTCCCTCAAGTCCTGGTCACTTCCTCTTACTTTCCATTCCTCTGCACCTAACTATTCCAGCTAGGCACCTCAGACCATTTTTGTCTGTCATATTTGGCCTACTTGGCTTAGTGTCAAATACTTCCAAGGCTCAGGCACTCTGTAGCACGTATCAGAATTTCATTTGTTTTTGAAGGGTGAATAATATTCCACTGCATATATATATATATATATATATATATATATATATATATATATATATATATATATATATATATATACACACCACATTTTGTTTCTCCATTCCAAGAGAATTTTCTATCACCAACTGTACTCTGCTAAGAGACCTGATTTTATATGAGGCCCCATGAGTTCCTTCCTTTTAGCTGACGGACTACTGCATTTATATAGCACTCATTTATCTATGATCTGAACTTGCAGGGATTTTGCACACTCTTCTTGATTCTCTGTATAATCAGTAAGCTCCTTGAGGCAAAAGCTCACCTTCCACCCAACCCAACTCTCCAGATGGTGCCTGGGGACTATGCCTCAAGCCCCTGTACCTCATAATACACTAGTGTGCATCACCCAGGCAGGTCTTCAGAGTCTGCTCAGAAGTGAATGGAGAAGAAGCACCGGAAATACACCACACTTTGACTCCAGGAATGGTAAATGCAGCTGAGGAAGCAAAATTCACCTCCTTCCAAATGCAAGGGTATTCTCAGCCACCATGCTCTGTCCTGGACCTCAGTGCTACAGACAGCACAGCTGATGGGTAGGAGGAGCAGCACCGGGAGGCTGCACAGACCGCACACATGACGGGCCAGCCCGGATCAGCTCGAACTCTCCCACTGAACACACTGCTGGGGAGCATGAGCAAGCCTCTGGGGAGCAGAAGCAGGCTTGGAACTGCTCAAATATCTATCTAAACAAGTGGTATGAATTTTATATTCTATTAACTCTGTGCATGCTTGGTTTTTAATATTAAAATGTTTATTCCTGCTCTCACTGTGAGAGTAAGGCACGGACACAGATTTCTGCTGAAGAAGCAGGGCAGGGGCCCCTTATAAAAATGAGATACATTAGCAGTGTGGCAGTGCATATCTGTAATGCTAGCACTGGGGAGGCCTAGGCAAGAGGACTGCCTTGAGTTTGAGGTCAGCCTGAGTTACATAGTGAGATCCTGTCTTGGAGGAAAAAAAAAAAGAGCGATAGCAATCCAACAGCTGTGATTGCTAAGCAATCAACTGGATCCAGAGTAGGCTTGAATGGATTTGCCCCATGGTACCGTAAAGAGCAGACAGTCCCTCCAGTATGACAGGCAGGTTGCCAATCATGAAGAACATGACACTGACTATCCAAGTAAGGGGACAGAGGGAGAGAGCGGTCTAGGGGAGGCTGGCGACTGGGGGGTGATCAGCCAGGCAGGGCAAGTCTATATATACCTCAGAGGTGCTGATGCCTAAGGGTCAACTCTGGTGGGCCGTCTGTGTTTCCAGGGGCTGAGGAAGAGCCTGTCTTCAATTGGGTGGGAATCCTACTTATAAGGCAGTCTTAGTAGGAGACACTGGGAAAAGGAGGTGGACCATTACTATAAATGTTCAGTTCTGTCTATGATTTTTCTCTGGAGGATTAGAAAACTCTTCATGATGTGCTGGAGGAGCCTTTGCAGCCCATCTAAAAACTAGTTTAGAGAAGGACTCAGGATTTCTTCCATCAGCCCTTCAACACCTGCCATTTCCTCTGAGTAGGCAGCAAATGCCAAGGTGAACTACAGGTGGGTGGGCAAGAGGGCCAGCAAGCTACATACAGCCCAGGGCTCTGAGGCACAGACCTTGGGAGGCAGCAGCCCCAGTCTGCATGTCATGTGATCCCAACGCAGTAAGTCCTCACACAGGGCACTCTGAATTCCCCCGGAACATCCGGAGGGTGTCATCTCGAAGTTCCCCTGCATTCCTGAGCCTCTCCGTGGTGACGCCCAAGTGCTACAGAGCCACCACCCCTCTCTCCGGCTGCTTTTCAACCAAAGGCTTTTTCCAAACAAAAAGTTCCCAGGAGCTGCAGCAGAAGAGCATGAAGCTTCCAGGCTGGAGTCGGAAGTGCCTGCGCTCTGCCAGTGCCTGCGCTCCCTCAGGACGCTTCTTGCTGCCCTCTGTGCTGCCTCTCAGAACCACACAGCTCAGACCCCATCTCAGTAGAAATCAGTGCCTCGCTGCACTCTGGTCTGTTTTGAAAGCTTTTTGCCGAGGAGCTCCAAATTCTGGCAACCAGAGGCAACTACTCCGGGCCGCCAGAGAATGGAAAAAGCTGATAGCTAATAATAGCGTCATGAATTTGCGCAGCACTTTATCTTTTCAGAGTGCTTTTTAACCCATTACAAGGAGGAACAGGGAAGAGGCAGGAGGGGTGGAGAGGGTCTGCTGCCTGGACTCCTGGTGCTAGCCCGCCTGCTCCCTCTGCCGCCCTCAGGGAGCAGATCCTGGGCTCTCCACGGAGAAAGCAGACAGAAATGGAAATGAAGCAGGATTTCCCATCCACCAGGGAGCCCTCCCCACTTGTGTCAGCTTGCTGAGCTCTGGTCTATATTTTATGGCAGTCAATACCTTCACAGGAGCTTCATCTGCTGAATCCTGGATTACTTTAAGTGGGCATCTTAGAAAACAGACACCAACCCCCACCCCCAAGCCTTTGACCAGTCATAATCAAACCAGTTGTCTTCTTCTGGGGGCTGAGAAGAGAGACCTGGTGTTGACCAGGAAGGTGGCTGCCACCTACCACATCTGTGTTGGTGATCTTGGCCAACAGCTCAGTCAGGGCATCACAGGTGAGGGAGCTCACTTCCTCGTCCTGCTGGAGCCCACAGATGGCTGCTCCCACGCTTCCAGTTGCGATCATCGATGGCGGATACATGGCAAACTTAAAGTCTGCAAGAAACAGAGGGGTAGGTCAGGAGACAGAGGGAACGTGACCCATCAGATACATACACAAGATCTTTATTTATGGGTCATACTAGGGCTCATCGGGATTTTAAACAAGAGACAGGCAGGGAAGAAAGAGCTTGTCTAAGTGCCCACAGTGAATCACAGATGGCTCAAGGTCCCGGCCCTCTGTGTCCCACAGTCACATGTAAAGGACTGTTCTTGCCCTGGCACGGATAGCAAGGTCGGGTGATGGAGTGGAGCAGAGGAGGTCTGCAGCTGTCAGGGGGATCCCCCTGGCCTGCAGGTGGGGGACTCAGGCAAAGTTCTACAAAGTGATATGGCACCTAGGACCACTATGGCCCCAAATAATGCTTTAGAAGCAAGGAAGTCTGTGCAGTGAGGCAGCGCCAGCACAGGCAAGGGAGGGTGGGTTTCACTGTTCTCAACTCCAAGGCCTTGTTGAGGACCCTCTGGGCGTTATGACACAGGACAGAACCTAATCAAGCACCAGAGAATAGCTACTGCATGGTGACTAAATCCCCCCACTTTCAGTTCGATCACCAGCACACAAAGCACCGCATACATTCTGTCCCATTTCACTCATGCACCAACCATACAAGTGGGAATGGAAAACTACACTGCATGTTTCAGTTCCAAGAATTTTATTACATGGAAAGACACATGTCATTAATCCCCCTCAAAATGCTCCCCTTCCCTCTGAGCACACTTGTTCTAGCATTCCTGCCACCCTGTGAAGAAGTTCCGGAGATATTTTGTGAGGGTCTCTATGAGGTGTGATAAAAAGCACAATGAGTGCTGCTGTCCAGCACCGTTCAACAGAAAGGCTGCGTCACCGGAACCTGATGGTGGGGCCTCATCACCTTTTTCACCAGATCTGGCCCCATGTGACTTCCTCAGTCAAAATGACAATGACAGGGAAACGTTTTGAAGGGATTCAGGACATTGAGGCAGCCAGGACAGCTCGAATAGACACTCAAAAAGATACTTCTAAAACTGCTTCAGAAAGTGGTAAGAAGAGTGGAGTAAGTGTGTTTGAAGTGACGGGGAGCTCTGAGGGGAATTAATGACAACATGTCTTTTACAGCAATAAATTTAGAACACATAAACAGTCACTCTGGTTTCAGTCACACCCTGTGTGAGGTCCATCACCCTAACCTGCGGACCGGAAGCCTGAGGCTGAGTGTGGAAGGTGTCCCTCCTGCTGCCCACAGGTTAGAGGTTGCAGTTTCTCCTCTCCTGACCCCAGGGGGAGCTCTGGAGTGCAGTAAATCTTCCACAGGTACCTCCAGCTGGAGGGGACTCGAATGAATTTGCAGCATGCAGAAATGGAAGATACATGCATGACAGAGAGATGAGACGCATTCCCATTTATAGCAAAGGTATTAGGTTGAATCCACACAATCCAGTGCACTGTAATATTTCCCCTTCTTTCTATACAATTCCCTATTAAGAAGCATACACTCTAGAAGCCCCACTGAGACCAGCCTGGTACTGGGGATTGAATTCAGGGATGCTCTATCACTGTGTCACACCCCCAGTCTTTTTTCTTAATTTTGAGATAACGTCTCCCTAAATTGCCCAGGCTGGCACAGAACTTGTGATCCTTGCATTTAGGCCTCTTAAGTAGCTGGGATTACAGGCATGCACCACAATGCCAGCTATGGAAGCACTTTCAGTGGGGAGTCTGTCACCCAGTGTTAAGCCTGTGGTATCTTAGAACCATACACAGACCTCCCCTCCCATCTTGGCTGAATCCCAGGAACACCAAGAGGCCTGGCCGTCTGTCCCTCCTTGGCTTCCCTTCCTCTGCCATTCGCCGTTTCCACCTGGAGGGCTGGGTTTTACGGCACTGCACCCAACACCTGCTGTCTACCAGCCCCGCGGGTGGTGCCCACATCCCCACAGCAGTGCGACAGAGCCAGGTCCCCTGCTCCCACTCTGCTGTAGGTCTCTTCCACATGGGTCACAGGAGACCACGTCTCTGGTCTCTGCCCAGTAACCTCCCTCTGCGATATTCATAGCGCCATGCAGCCGGCCCTGGGCAAGCGCATCTGACAGGCAAGGGTAGAGAAGCGTCGCTAGCTTGCCCATCCCTGGGCCACAGGCCTCTGTCCAGGAAGCTCTGTTGGCCTATGATGCAGAAACCAAGTCCTCTGCAGCTCATGGAGCCAACGGGCATAGGTGGGGCTGCCTAGCGCTCTCAGGCTCAAAAGACAGGTACGGGTCCTGAGAGTATAAATGTGGAAGAAAGTTCTAAGACTTTTCCATGTACAAGGATGTCCTCACAAAATACAGAGGGGCATCCAACCGGGGAGAGTGTCTCATGATGTATCTTCATGATATATTCCCTTGTTCCAGACTGCATGGATTATTCCCCGAAAAATGTAAAATAATATCGTGCTCCAGGGAAAGCAGCGGTTTCTTAAAGCCAAGGCACCAACTCATCACACAGCCAGGCAATGCAGTGTGTTCTTAGCGCCGAGGTGTGTACTCCAGGGGGAACTCTTAGAGATGCTGTTCACACCTGTGCATAATGTAACAGTTACACATACCGCATGGCACCTGTTGTTCCGAGATGAACTAAAACAGCCCCTGGAAATGCAAAGCCAGGTTCTTGGCAAGCAGTGAGTGTCACCCTCAAGACTGCTTGCTCTTCTTCCCTGCAGGGTTTGAAAGGGAGGCCCCAGCGCTGCAGACACCCAGAGTTCTCGGCGTAAGGGTGAGGCCCGAGCATCCCTGGTGTGTGGGTGGATGTGTGGGCATGCTGAGGGCAGGAAGGTGTTTGGGCCCTGTGCTTCCCAGAGCATTACTTCACTCCCCGCTCGTGTCTGTGTTCCAGAAATAACGGCCCCAAGTCCCCCAAGCCTCCTACTGCTTTGTCAGAAATGGGAGAAACTGAAGATGCACAGGGAATGGAAAGAGCGCACACAAGGAAGGGCAGATAGATGCTGGCGGGGACAGCGCAGGGCAGGCACATCTGGAAGTCACACAGTGCCAACAGCAGCTGTTGCCGGCCACAGTGCAGTACTAAGAAGAAAGGAACCTAAGTCCCTATTTTCAAACACCTCCTTTTGCAGGTGAAGGGAAACTCCAGAAGTCAGGTGACTTGTGCCATGTCACCTGCTGTGAGCATGGGACCTCAGGTTAAAATAGAGACTTTTGGACTCACATGGAACACTTTGTAACTCACCAGAAGCTGAAGAGCTCAAGGTCACCCCCCACAAGACCCTAAGGACTGCAAGGTGCTCTTTCATTTCAGAAGTGGAGATGTCCCCAGGAAGAGCCCATGCGGCCTGCAGGCTATGTGACCTTGCACGGGTTGCTCAGCTTCCCCAAGATGTCCAAGGAACACCAGGGCTCCAATGGGCTCCCTAATTTGAGCAAGGGCCATGAGAAGTGCTCTGCATTGTCAACTTGGTATCTGCACTGCTTGGTAAGATTTTCTGGGTTCTACAGAGTTAAAACCACCCAAGCTATGGTCCTGCACAGTGAGTTCAGCGCTGATCCCTGGCTCTGGCCTGGAGGCCTTGTGGTACAGCTGCCTCGCTCTTGTCCACTTTGCTCCCAGGTGAAGGAGACCCCGGAGACCCAGGTACCCCCTCTTCCTCCAACCTACAGCCAGGTGGAAGTTCAAGAGCCAGGGTGCTCACCAGCTGACAGATGACGTCATTCAGCACACACACTCATCTTCCACCCACCAACACCCCTTCCTCTTGGGGCTGGGGCAGGACAGCCGAGGCCACAGTATTACAACTGCTAATGAGAGTTTAACCCCAAAGGCTCTGTCAGGAGAAGGAGAGAAGCAAAGACTGGGGAAAGGCCCTCACTCACCCCACCATCACAGGAAGGGAGACGCCAGCGCTCCTGTCTCTACACCAGCATCCCCATGGGTGAGTGCTTAAAGAAGACTGGGGAGACCGAGGGCTTCTGTCACCCCTGGGGCGCTAGCCTCAGGGCAGGGCGGTTTGAGTCACTCTGGTGTGTAACACAGGCAGGCGCCACACTTTGCAGCGGCTCCTAGTACACAGAGGGACAGAGGCAGGGAACCGAGCAGGGATGGACCTGCTCCCCTGCTCTAAATTCAAATGTAAGGTCACGGGCATCCTGGAGGCTGATGGGCATCACACACTGAGCCGACACCAGTGGCGAGGCACCTCCTGACACTGACTGCAATTTTGGATACCTTGGCCGGTCCTCTCCTTACAGCTGTCTGGGGAACTAACGCTATGCTTCCCTAGTACTGAAGCCTCCAGGAGAGGACTGCAATATCAGGAGCTGCAGCTGCAAAACCCTCACCCTCAGGCCAACCTCCACAGTCTGGCACAGGCGGGAGAGGCCAACAGGCAGCTTGAGGCCATCTCTCCCCCAGAAGCCATCTTAGGACCACCTCTCTCCCACCACCATCTCACCCGAGTGCAGCCAGCGGAGCATGTCGAGGGCCACCCTTCCCATGGCCATTCCGCTCTCCCCTTTCACACACATCGCTCTCTGCACACGGAGAAACCTCTGCCAGCGCTTTCACAACCAGCATTTCCCATAAAACAGCCCCACAGCCTCAGGCCTGGCTACCTACCACGTCTTCCAGACTCCCCCTATCCAGCACCCCGACGTGGGCCCCAGGGCCTGGCTGCAGAGCTTCCAGAGACATCCACGTAAGGGGCAGAGGCAGGAGGGTATGTCCTCTCCCCACCAGTCTCGGATCACCCTGCACCTGCTACTGGCCAGACACAGCCCTGGGCACTCACCTGTCCTTCCGCTCTGCCCTGTGCCTGGAAGCTTGCCTTTCTGGGAGGGGTGTCCTCCACGATAAGCAGCCCTTGGTGTTTATGGACTGTCCTCAGAATGCCCAGGAGACCACCAGGCAGCAGGTACTGTACTGTCTCGTTTATTGTACAAGCCCACGTGTAGAGAGGGGAGAAATGCCCTGGGAGGCAGGCCTCGGCCTCTCCCTCTCCGTAGGCTCTGCGGAGCGTGCACCTTGGGGTTAGCACTTGGCATCTGCTCAGATGGGACTGGAGGTGCACTTTCTCCTACCCTTCCCTACCCTTGGCCACAGCTCACTTACAGCCCCCAAAAGGCAGCCCTCATGACAGCTCCACCTCCCTCTGGACCTCTGTCCTCAGTCTCTGAAACTCAGGCTCCCGATCCTGGCCCCAGAGTTGGCAGCCACCCCAAGGATCTGGGCAAGAAGGCCAAGACTGGGGGAGGGGATCCTAAGTTCAGAAACTGGGCCTCTGCCCTATGCAGCATTGGGAGGTTTTCCTGTGTGTGGGTAAGTCCACCTAGCATCCCCTGAGAACAGGGAAGAAGGAAAGGCACGCAGACCCCAAAAGACCTGTCAGTCAAGAGACAAGGCCAAACCAAAATGCTGGCCATCAACAGCTGGGCAATGAGGGCGTCCAGGGTCGGGGGTCAGCTGTCCGTGATGCCAGAGAGAAAGGACTGGCTGACCCCTCCCCCACTGCCAGGCCTGGGAGGCAAAGTGACAGGTCAATGAGGGACTGACCTCTCAGGCCCTGGCCAGACAGCAGAAGGGAAGGAAGCAGAGAATGACTGTGTGCCAAAGACACCAAAGGCCGAGGGGCCTCACAGGCTGTATCCCCTCAGCCACAGGACAGCTGCTAACTCCAGAGAGGACCCCGGCCTATGTGCACCGTGAGGCCCAACAGGGTATGCATGGACAGGACTGAAGAAGGCCTGCAAAGGGGGACCAGGCCTTTGCACCCCGAGGAGGAAGCTGGGAGCGAAGAAATGTGGAGTCCACAGCCATGCTGGAACAGGCGAGTCTTCAAAGCCACCTTAGCTGGAGCAGTTAAAAAGCAGAGCCAGTGGCCTTTTCACAATATTGTGGAATTTCTCCTACGCCCGGGCTACACATCTGATTTAAAAGCCCGCGTGCATGCATCCTTTTTGATTTTGATCTGCCTAATCACAATGCTAATGTAGGACTGTTTGTACCAGGTGTGTTTTGCAAATGAAGTTCAAGAGGTTAAGCACTTTGTGCTAGGTCACCCAGTGGTCAGCAACACAGCCTGACCTTCTGACTGTAAACAAACAGCATATACACTATTGCACCTCCTGTAATTACCTGTCATACTTGTGAACAACATGTAACAAGGTGTTAACATTAATCCCTCCTCCCCTACAGGATTCAACTATCCCTGGCCAATATGAACTTGAATCACCCCAAGTGGTCTCCCCAGATAGCTACTTCTTTACCTTCCTGACTGTGAAAATGTGAACTCCTGACACCTCTGTTCTGGGTCATTAAGGTCCAGGGGTCTCCCACCCTGGCCACTATCAAGAAAAAATAGTAAACTGGTCAAGGTTCACTTTACTGAGATGCTATCAAGCCACTACCTTTAGTTATTTAGGAAAATGCAAAGTGAGGGGCGAACAACAACTATGTATCAATTGTGGGATCCCCCTGGTGGGGACAAAGTTTTTTTTAACAGGAAAAAGCTACTTGCAACTGTTATGTTAAAGGCTGAAGCTGAAACTGACATGTAGCCTTTGGCAGTGACCTAAATGCAAGGAGGACCTCGGATGCCCAGGCTCAGAGAGGAATTCTTCCTGAGATGTACCAGATCCCCCTCCCACCAAGCAAAGGGAGCAGCAAGAAGGCAATAAACACCCTACAGGAAAAGGAATGCCTTTCTGCTCCCTTTCCACTTATCAGGGAAGCAACATATATCTCCTGATGTTGTTCCTTCAACCTATATTTGCCCCACCCCCTACATTTCCTCTTGGGCTTATCTCTAAGCTATCCGTTTCCTTAAAAGATTAAAGATTTATACACAATCAGTAAGCGTATATATAATCTTCAAAGAGCACTTTAGACATCATAAAGAACATTTTAACAGGCACTAATTTTTTTTTCCCTTACCACACCTGTCCCCATAAACCATTTATGGGTTTAGCAGAGCAAAAGAATACACCAGCTCTGATAAAGTTCAAGAACAAACAACCTAGGAATGAAACCTCGGACTGTAGATTACATTGGACTGCCCCCTCCCCTGAAGACCAAAACTGACTCCCCGTGAACCCCAGCTGCCCTGAGTCTGCTCTCACCCGTGGCGCACAGAGCGATGAAAGTCTGCGCGTGCTTGCGGATCAGGGACAACTTCTCCCTCTGCTGGGGCAGCTTGCGGAGGATGTGCTCGATGAAGTCGTGCGGGGTGACCGCAGCCAGGTTCCACTTCAACTTGCCCAGCACCACCAGCTCCCACTCCTTGTGAGGAAGACAGAAGAGGACAGAAGGTTATGAAACCCACAGTTGACTGGGACCCCTGGAGGCCACACCAGCCGTATGATGATCATTAGAATGGGGCTGCTAGACTGGAGGGCGGGCTCATTCACACTTTGAGGCTGTTGACACTCTTTTAATGCTGTGAATGTGAGGTTCCCCTGAGAATACTGAAAGTGCAGGTAGCTTTTGCCAAGAGTCTAACTTTTTTCTACTTCTTTTTGTCTCTAGCTCCGCCAGCCCCACCCCACCCTTAATTCCATGAAAGGCTGTAGCCTGCCCACCCAGAAAGTTGGACCTACAATGATTCGGTCAAGATCACTGTGACCTTTTATGGCTACGTATTGTATATGTCGCTGTCACTGATGAATGGTCTTTTAAATCCTCATGGAAAAGTGATACACATAGATAAAGTGCAAAATAAGCCCAACTCTTTGGCAAGCAATTAACTGGTTTTTACTTGGTGCCAAAAGGTGCCATTTTTTCTCTCTGCTGTTAGAACTTTCCTTTTAACATATCATGGAGAAATCCCACAGATGAGGCACCCAGCACTTTCCCCCAGCGTTTCACAGACCTCTGTCGTCGTTACTAAGGGCTGAGATGGCCACTTGAACCAGGTTTTGCAGATGAAGCTGACTTGGGAAGAGGTGGGGGGTGCTTGCTCAGGGACACAGAATCGCTCAGCCAATGAAGCATTGTCTCGTCTGGGCCGATCCCAGCAGGTGAGTGGCAATAAACTTTAATTCTCTCCTTCTTGAGAGACGCTTGGGAAACTGTGCTCAAAGGGAGCGAGGCTCATGTACAATGGGACTGAAAATATGCCTACCAATTGCTGTCTTCAGAAGAGGCTGAGACCACGCCAGCACACCCTGCCGATTCCCCCTAGGAAGCCTGATCTCGTTCACCGCAAAGCCTGGGGCAGATGCTAAACCTCAGGGGCACCTGGCTGAGGCCAGGGGCAGCGTCCTTTCCCTGCCCGGGTTTAGAACAGGAGGGCGCTTCCAAGTCACCATTCTGGGATAAAGAGATGAGAGATGGGAAAGGGCAGATCTGCTTAGAGCAACATAAATGAGCTTGGCTAGTCCTGGAAGAAATGGGGTGTCTTGAATATCTCTGGCCCACTGTCCCATTGAAGCATTGTTTTTTCTGTTCTTTCACGAGAAGAACACACTGGTTCCTGGTTCTGGTCATTTTTTTTAGCAAGCTTTTAACTCTGGCTTTCTGCAGAGGCTTGGAGTAAAAACTCCAGATCCACTACGCAACAAGCTGTGTCTTCAAAGACAGCTGGAAACCCCAGCCTCGGTTCTCCTCCGGGAATGTGAGCATTGTACTAAGCACCTATGCTGCACCATTATTAAAGGAAGCAGATCTCCCAGAAGAAAGCACCTTTCTGGGCCTCCCAGGCCAAACCAGAAGCAGCCGAAATCTGGCAGTGGTTCAAAGGTGAAGTCATTCATGCCCCCTCTACATTCTCGGCGATTCCTCCCCAGCCTTGCGCATGTCTGCCACTAGATGGCAGCACAGACCCAGAAAGAAGGCGCCCCACAAAGAGCTCGGTTCAAGAAGCCAGTCCCAGACCCGTGCACTTTCTGCGGACCAGGGCCCTGGCCCAGCTGTAGCGGGGTGGGGGGGCTTTTCTAACCAGGGCAGAGAAAGGTGTGCAAACCACGCTCTGCCACCCCAGGCCTGCAGGGTTATGGTCATCTGATGGGCAAAGCTGCAGCAGAAAAAGATAGATGGGGGCCGGGGGGAGGGGTCCCTGGCAGAAAATTAGAAATCAAGCCAGGACTTAGATAAATCAAAGGCCCCCTACAGCGTGGAACCCAGGCCTCTGGCTCTTTCAATAAAAGGCCAAATTTTGACTTTGTTCAAAAGTTCATGTACCTATATTTAGTGATCAGCTACTATGTGTTTGTATCTCTAGAGTTTATTGATTTATAAGGAAGATGCTACCTTTGACTTCTAGATGCTTAGGAGACACACAACATATTCCTATCAGGAGAACACACTCCTCTCATGAGAAGTCAGACTATCTTCTCAGAGTTCATTTTTGACATTGAGGACACTAAAATATTATCACTATTAATTAAAGTGCTCCATGATGTGTGCACGCACGTGTGCACTGAATGTCGACACCACAAACTTCAGGAGGAGCTTATTCATGTATGTAAGCTTGAGTGCTTTGCTCACTGGCTGGCACACAGTAGGAACTTAAATAATAATAGTTCTTATCTATCACAGGGCATGTCTGTTGTCAGTGTGTAAATTCCAGCGGTGGGGTGATTCCGGATCCCGAATTGGGCTTGGGAGGCCAAGATGGGGCTGGGAGGGGAAGCGGGGCATCTTTACCAGCAGCTCCTGGGGCTTGATGGAGTTGTCAGTATAAATGCACAGCTTCTCCGCGGTCAGGGGTATGGTCTCTTTGAGCTTGGAAGCCAGGAACATGCAGACGGCACCCAGGAGCTGCAGGTGGGTCTTCGGGGTGGGGACCCCGGCTAAGAAGCGGTCCAGGTAATTCATGGCCAAAGGGAAGACTTCCTCCTCACACTTCTGTTCCTCGCAGACCTACAAGGGGAATGGGAAAGGGCCCGGGCAGAGTGAAAACTGCATCCAAAGAAAAGTAAAAACAGGATGAAAAGCATAATGTACAGGGACAAAAAGCACAGTCTATGGGGATGAAGTAGAGAGTGAAATATAACAACAGATGCAAAAACTGGGGTGCACCGAGCAGCTGGTCCGTACTTGGGTGGTCCACGGGGCCCAAGAGGCGAGCAACTGAGGACCCGACCCCAGGCAGTCAGAGCGCGGCGCCCCGAGCTCGGCCGCGCCGCTCCCTCCTTGGCGCACTCTAACTCACTCAGTCTCTTTTTTGGATTTCGTCATCTTTTCAAAAAATCAATAAAAATATTCTGGAGGCTCGGGAGGTCTACTTCTTGGTCTCATTCGGACCCCCAGACCCTGCTTTATCATTTCCGACAATTGGAAAAATTGTCCGGGGGGGTCCTCGCGGCCTAGGGGCCGCTGTTGAGGGGTGGGAGGGGAGAGCGAGGCAGAGAGGGGGAGGGAGAGAGGAGGAAGAGCGCTGCGGCCGCGGGCGCCGCGGCGCAGGGAGGACGCTTTCAAAAAATAATTAAAAATCGAGGAAATAGCCCAGCAGAGCCCTTTTGGCGTGAAAACCCCAAGAAGGATCTCGACTCCCGGACAACGAAGTTTCAGGGGGTGGGAGGTCTGCATCTCGGCCCCTGGGGCTTCGGATCCCGGGGGAAGCGCGGAGGTTGAAGCCGCGCGGGAGTGTCCGGCCGCGGCCCACACGGGAGCTAGGGCGCGCGGGGTCGACCCGGGCGACGAGGGCGCAGGGGTCCCCGGGAGCTCGCGTGGGCTTCTACTTCCCATTTAGGGGTGCCCCGACTTTCCCCGTGCACACACCTCCTCCCCCTCCTCCTACCCCACCCAGATCTGCGCACGGAGGAAGCTCGAAAGCCAAACTGTAAGTAACCTCAGCGACTTGGGGGCTGGGGGAGAGAGCACGGTTAGAAGTGGGGAGACTGGGATAAAGGGGTGCGGGGAGAGAGGGCGAAGACTTCCAGCCTTTCCAACTGGAGTTTGCAAAGCAACATGGCGAAACCACGGCAGGTCCTGAGCTGTGTCTACGTGGGCACTCAGCTCGCTCCGCAAAGTTCGGGAGCAGGGTACAGAGTGCTTCTTCAGGGTTCCCCTAAAACGCACGCTTCTGCAAGGCGACTTCCGGGGCTCTTGCATTCCCTGTTCTCTCCTCCTCCCTCTTCCCTCCCCCTCCCCTCTGAAGTGCCAACGCGGAGTCGCGACCACACGCGCGGGGACCTGAGGCCAGGACGCCTTTGCTACGGCCTTTTGGGGGGCTGCCTTTTTACTCAGGGGTCCCACTTTTCACGTTCCTTCTCCCTTCTTCGCCGCACGGAAAATAGTCGCGGCACCGCAAAAGGCAGGGCGTGATGGGGGTGGGAAGACGAGGAAGCCACACGCGGGCACACGCGCGCAGGATGCTCCCCACCCCCGCTCCAGGACAGCCTTGTTGCTCCCAGATTTCCCACCCCCGTTAAGTGAAACGGGGCCACGCGTCGCGCCACCCAAAGGGCTCGGGATCTCACGCGCGCGTCCAGCAGGCGCGCAGGGGGCCGCCGGGCCGCAGTGTCAGGGTCCCGGCGTGGGGCTTGGGGTCGGGGCTCCATCGAGTGTCGCCTGCACACCTACCTCCAGCATCCAGGTGGCCACCATCCTGCGCATGTAGGGCTGGATGTCCTTCTGCACACACTTGAAGTAGGAGCACTGCGGGAGGTAGCGCTCCTCGATGGTGAGCAGATTCTGCAGGACCCGGTCGTCCAGCAGGTTGCGGTCCGGCACGGCCCTGCGCACGGGGTCCACCTCGCAGCACAATAGCTCCATGGCCAGCCGGGAGACCACTCGCGCCCCGGCGTGCTCCCGACTGCAAAAGTTTTACTTTTTTTTTTTTTTTTTTGGAGGGGGAGGGGAAGGGTTCCCCTTACCTCCTTCCTTTGGCTAAATTGGGGGTTTTCAGAGGAAAGACGAGGGCAGAGAGAAGAGCTGGAGGAGAAGAGCGGAGGGGCTGGGCGGTGGGCAAGCCTGGCCCTCGCCGGTCCTCCCTTCAAAGTCGCCTCGCGCTCCCCAGCCGCTCTTCTCTGCTCTGAGGCTGTGACGCAAGCTGGCCGGGCAGTTAGGTCTCCTCCCTCGGCCTCGCTCCCCTCCCCGGTTCCTCCTCCCCTTTCCTCCCCTTCCCTCCCCTCCTCCTTTCAATCTCTCCCTCCCTCCTTTCCCCTCTTGTTATTACGGAGAACAGCAGCTGGCCCGACCTAACTTCAAACGCGGTCCCCCGCTCTCCACCCCTCCCGCGCTCTCCGAGGCCTTCTCCCTGCATCCAGTCCCGCATGCCAGGGGCCCCTATAGGGGAACCCACAAAAACCCACGGGCCCTATTGATTCCCTCTCATTTCGCACATTCTCTCAGATGCCCCATGCTACAATGCGACCCTCCGACTTTGGCTCCTCCAAAAGGAATCGTAATCTTCCTGCCCCACGTTTTCAAGATCCAGGAATGGAGGGTAGATGACTTGAAAACGCGGACAACGCAATGCAGAAATAGATCTCTTAAGTGAAAAATAAAGGGAGGCGGGTATAAAACAGCAACCTCGCATACCCAGAGGTAAAGGTTATGTCCCTGAAATTTAGGTTCCTGATGACTAAGACGCTGTTTCACTAGCCCCACCAAAGGGACCGGAACAGCGTCCCCTGTCCCCTGCCCCCCTGCACGTGTGAATGGAGAGGAAGACGAAAGGGTGTGTGTGTTTGGGGGGGTGTGCTTCACTGTTTTGATAGGATGTGGCCCTGGAGCAGAACCCAGCGTATTCTTGGGGGCTCCACTGGGCGAGGCGGCGAGGCACCCAGGGCCGCCGCAGGCCGGGGGCAGGGCTACCAGCAGTTCCTGCGTGTCTGGCAGCCACGCAGGAAAAAGCCGCTTCCTCGCCCCTGCGTCTCCTGACAAGCCCGCGACGTGTCTGTGCCGAGCGTGGCCGCACTGATACAGCTTTCTAGGAAACAGCCTGGGTGGGGGAGGGGGAGGGAACGCCCCCCCTCCCCCGCAGCGCACACCTCGCACCCCTTCCTTTCCCCGGGGGCCCCAGGCTCCCCCTCGGCCGTGCGCCCAGTATCCTCGCCCACCCCTACGAGTTCGCGCCTCCTTCGCCAGCCAGGGCTTTCGATTGCGCAGTCGGCCCTGACATGTGCTCTAACGCATCCTGGGGTCAAGGCTGTTTTTAGCCAGGACCCAGTGGCGTTTCCTCACCTCCTTCCTCCCGCCACCCCGCTTTTGAGAGTTGTTCCACGCGAGGAGGAAGGGGTGAGAGCCCGGCGACCCGGGAGCGGAGGCCGGGTTGGCACGTGCGGCGGGCATGGCGTGGGCCGTGCGCTCGGGGCGCACGGAGGCCGACAGAGCGCCTCCCGGTCCGGGAAGGGGGCCCAAGAAGGGACACCGCGAGCCCGGGCGGAGTGGGACCGGGAGGGGGCTGGGCCGGGCGAGCTGCGCCGGGTTCCCTGAAAGGCAGCAGAGGGGTGGAACAAACCAGAGGTGCAAGCGATTAAGTCGGCTCCAGAGCCAGCCCCTTTAAACGAGGGTGGGGCGGAAGGGGTGGGTGGGAGGAGGGGGAATATCGCTTTAAAAAGGGTAAGTTTGGGGCGCCGTCTCCCCTCCCTCTATTTGCATAGCCAATAGCTCTGGGGCTCCTGCTACTGCGCGCTGATTGTTACCGGGCAGATTACTTTTTTTTTTTTTCTTTCCTTTTTTTTTTTTTTTTTTTTTTAGTAGGACGAGTTCCCCGCTACATCAAAAGGAAGCCACGGGAGGGCGGAGGGAGAGGGGACTGGGGAGGGCCAGGGCCGGGGAGCGGCTGGGGCGCCCCGGGCCTTATCAATGGCAGCGGGAATTAGTATCCAATCTCCTATATGTAAAGAAGGGGGAGGGACGGGGCGGGAGAGGAAAATGTTTAATTGCTGTGGAAGCCATTAGCTTTCGGGAAGAAAAAAAAAAAACCCGCACTGACAAACCCGCGTTGCAAACTCAAAATGAAACAGTGCAGCCTGCGCGGCGGATGACACTCGGGTTGGGTACCGTGCTCATCCCAGTGGACTCAAGTCGGACTTCCCGACTTCCAGCTTTTGAGTCATCCCGGACACATACAAGAACCTACATTTTAAGACCTCGTAAAAGCATTACTCAAACTTCCCCTGGCTACCTTGAGCGGATCCGAGGCAGCTGCAGGGGAGAGGAGAGGAGAGTAGGGGCAAGAGTATTTTTAAAGCCTAGATCTAACCAAATAGGCAAAGATCTCGGGTTCCCATCACTGGATGATTAACCGAGCTCGACCTCCCTCCAGGACAGCATCCCTAGCCCGGGTCGTCGACATCGGGGGCGGGGAAGAGGCGGGTGGTCGTCCCGGGCTCGCCCACCGGAGGAGGCAGCCTGGGTGGCGCGTCCCCGAGCAGCGAGCCAGACCTCTCGCCCCCTCCCCTAAGCTCCCCTCCCCCTGTCCTTGCGTGCGGGGAAATTCCAGGAGGAGGGGACGGAGGAGGTGGGGAGAGGTGGCGGGCCAGGGAAGGGCGCCGAGGGTCGCGAGTGGGTGCGCCGCGCGTCCAGGTGCCTGTCGCATGGCCGGGCACCCTTTTCGGGTCTCCATTCACTTCTCCTTCCCAGGACGCAGTGCTCCCCACGGAGCCGCGCATCGAATCCACACCCGGCCGCTTCTTAGGGCCCGGCACGTGGGGTGGGGCGTGAGAGGGCGCGGGGGTTGGCAGGATGTCTCCGGGAGGCTGGGACCTTCCTGTCGTGTTAAAAGGCGCTCCACCTAGCACGCGGGAGAAAGCGCGCTGCCTGCTGGGCCAGTGCGCACGTTAGGTCTGAAGAAAAAGTGCGTCTCTGCTCTGGGCACTTGGGGTGTGGGGTCCTTCATCCTTTTCTTCTCTCCTCAAGGGAAAAAAAAAGTCGTGGCCTTTGTAGGATCGGTGATAAACTTGAGCGAATGCAAGTTTTATTGGACTTTTATTCCCTGCCGAGCCGGCTCCCCACCCCCAATCCCTTACGTTTCACAGTTTCGGTTGGAAAGTGTACAAAACCCTGTAGGTGTGGGGTGCAGCCTGGTGCTGCGTGTTTATAGGCGCATTTCTGCAAGGCTAAGCACACACTCCCAGTCTCACCTGCGGAGGCTGCAGCCGGCATATCCGGCGGTCGCTTCCAGCTGGAGGCGCGCGAGTTCGAGCCCGCTTCTCTGCCGACGGGCGCTCTGGTCGGAAGGTGGGGGACTGGGGCCAGGTTCGGGAATGAGCGTGACAAGAGCATCGCTCACCCCCAGGAACCCCAAGGAATAGGGCTGTGTTTGTTTCTTCAAGGAGAGATGACTGGTCCCGCCAACAACACCGAAAACCCGACGGTTATTTAAAAGTAGATGGCGAAGTGAGAGGCAGCGGCGCAGGAGGGATGGGGAGGAAGGAAAAGCAAAGTGAAGCACGAGCAAAAGGAGAAGAGGGAAAAGCGGGGAAGAGCAGCGCACGGGGCAGGAAGGAGGCGGTGGGGACACAGGAGGCCCGGGGCTTGCGGGTGCAGCGTGGACGCGCGGGCCTGGGCGCAGCAGAGCGCGGGACAGGGGCAGCCCCGGTGCAGGAGACGCGGGGGGCGTGGGTGTGGCAGGCCCGCGCCTGCCGTGAGCTCACCCCTCCCTGGCACCCCTCCCTCGGAAAGAGTCAAGCCCCGAACTTCCCCCTCTTCCTGTCTGATTCAGCTTCAGGACACGCCTCCGCGGCCGAAAATAGCAGTGAAAATGCTTCTGCTTTCTAAAAGTGAATTTTCCAATGGGATTTGGGGCTCGGGGCGCCCAGGCCATAGTGGTTGGGGGCCCCTGGCTCCCGGAGGAAAAGGAACCGGCCCCGAGGGCCCCGCGCCTTCCCCCGGGTGCACGCGGGAGGGGACCGCTGGGCGGCGGGCTCGCGCCTCCGCTCGGGGAGCCACCACGCGGCTTTTTCGCGGAATTTTGACGTCACCCCCACGTGGGGGAAGGGGCTGGGAGAGCGGAGGAAGCGGTGGCGGCGGGGCGCGGGGGCCGACTCGGTCCCGTGTCGGCGTCGCCCTCCTGTAGAGCCCCCCCGCCCCGTTGTGCTGCCCCGCCATCTCCCACCTCCCAGGACTTTATTCTTATCATTATTTTCATTATTACTATTATATTTTTAAACTTTGGAATCGGAAGCAGTTCTTTGCTGCAGAGAAAGCTGATTTCCTAGTGGTCCAGTCTCGCTGGACACTGGGTCCGCACTGAGGATCGTGATTGTGGTCGCGACGCCCGCCCCTTGCTTTCTGTTCGCTCTCCAGCGAGGGACACGCGCGTGTGTGTTTCTGCTCCTGGGGAAGTGAGTTCTGCAATTACTCGCACGCCGGAGTCTTGCACGCGCGACTTGGTTTTTTTGCCACCCCCCACCCCCTCCATCTACTCGTGTAGGGTCAGCCGGAGACCGTGCTAAGATGCGCCAGATCTCCCGAAGATGCGTGTGAGCAGGGTTGCCCGAATTCTGCTGCACACAGAGCAAATCGATCTAGAAGTAGCCTTGGCAGCAGAGGGCCGGAGAGATGGGCAAAGGCACCGGGCGCCTGCCCTCCCACCGCCGAGGTCCGGGTGGGGCATGAGTTCGGACCACCTGCCAGGGCGGAGAGCTGCATCTTCGAGCCATCCCACACACCCTCACTTCCCCTAAATTGGGCAAAATCTTTTTAAATCGTCCAGTTTTAGGAGGTGATCGCTGAAGTGCGTCATTATTTTCTGAACCACGGTGACAATTTTGAGTTGAAATTGGCAGTTGGGTTTAGTGGGGAGAACAACCCCGTGAACCGCCTTTTCAGCTTACCAGAGGCTCAGAGGGACTGTTGGAAGAATCAGAAGTAGAAAGCCAGGGGCTTCTTTGAAAATGTGGATTGAGGTGGAATTATTTTTTCAAAAGTAGGGAAGAAGTTTTCTGTTTGAATCAGATATGAAGTGAGGAAATGTTTCTTTTTTTAAAATGACAGAGTCTGGTTATGAGCAGTACTTTCTTACTTCGTTAGAACACACTCCTTCTATATTTAACTTTGTATTTATTTCTTTTTCGTTTAATGACTGTTAGTCTGACACGTCACACTGCTTT